GGCTAAGAATAGCCAAAAGTTTCTTGAAGAAGAACAGAATTATCTACTAGATACTAAAACTTTTAAAGCTGTTGTAATTTAGATAGTGTCTGGTTCTTGAACAAAAAGATCTAGGTAGGTAAGAACAGAGTAGGGAGTTCAAAAACAGATCCAAGCATATGTGGGCATGTGATTTATGATAAAGGTAGCATTGCAGAGCAATGGAGAATGCTTGTCTTTTTATTTTTTGAGACGGGATCTTGCTGTGTTACCCAGGCTGGATTTGAACTACCGGACTCATACTATCCTCCTGCCTCAGCCTCTTGAGTAGCAGGGACTACAGGTGTGTGCCGCTGCACCTGGCTGTTTTTAATTATTGGTTCTGGGTCAATTGGGTCTCCATGTGGCGGGGGGAGAAATGAAACTTGATTGCTACCTCACACACAGAAATCAAATCTAATGGATTGCCAATCTAGATGTGAAAGGTAAAACCTAACTTTTGGAAGATAACAGAATTTCGTTATGACTTTGGTGTAAGTAAAATTCTTAGACACCAAAAGTACAGTACTAATTCTAAAGATGATAAGTTGATAAAATTAAGAACTTGTATTTATCAAAGAACACCATTAAGAGAGTGACAAGACAAGCCACTTATACCAATAAGGGGCTTATATCCAGAATATGTTAAAAGGTGTATAAAAATTTATTAGAAAAAGAGTTACAATTCAGTAGGAAAAAATGGAAAAGCAACCTGAACGCACAATTTCGTAGTATTGTCCAAGTATCAAATACACGTGAAAAGATGCTCCTAGTCACTAGGAAAATGCAAATTAAAACCACAGTCGAGTACCACTGCAGACTTACCATAACAGGTGAAATTAGAAAGACTGATGATTCCAAGGGTTAGTGAAGGAGTGGAGCTGTGGGAATTTTCATAAACTGCTAGTGGAAAAATAGATTAATTGGAAAAAGCGTCTCCGTGTATACTAAAAGGTGTATGATAAGAATCTTATGAGTGACAGTATTCATAATAGCCCCAAACTGGAAATAATACAGTTGTCAATCAAAAGTAGAATGGATAAACAAACCATCACATGTTCATATAATGGGATATTATAAAGCAGTGATAGTGAACAAACTACAGCTTATAGGCATAACATTAGGCAAACAAACCCATTTATATAAAACTAAAAAAAATCTGGTTTTTGAGGTCAGGGTAGTAGTAACTTTTGGGGAAAAGGAAGGGGGCGGTATTACTTAGAAAGGATCATAGAGAGATGTGGTGGGTTTCTGGGAAGCTTGCCCTTCCTCCTCCCCCCCGTCACAGGTTCATTTTATGGTAATTATTTAAGCTGTATGCTAATGATTTTTGCACTCTTCTATAATATTGCAATAAATAAATTTGAACATAGTATATAATGAAGACATTGATAATAGAAACAGAAGCTTACATTTTAAAAAGTGCTTGTGTGTTAAGTTTTCATTCTGCATGCCTATTTGTGATACCTCATTTAAACTTCTTAACATGGAATAGAGTTAGTATAGTTATCTCTGCTTCATAGATGGGGAAGCTAACACCCAAAGTGGTTAAGCAATGTCTCATTCACAGCCTTAGCCTTTTTACTGTTTATAAGAGCTCTTTATAGATCTTAAGGACCTCAGCCCTTTTCATTTATATTTTTATTCCTTCCTAGTTTTTTTGTTTTTAACATAAAATTTGAAGGCCTTCTTTCTCTCCATTGTTTGAATTTAGGAATTTTTTGCTGTTACAAACTGTGCCAGGATAAACATGCTTGGCATCTTTGTGCTCATTATCAAATATTGCCTTGGGATATAATTCCTAGAAGTTTTTTAAAAAACAATACAGTGAACAAAGTTGCTCCACATAATCGAATTGAATAAATGTATTTTTCACTATTGAGTAATGAAATGTTTAGCAAAGATACCCTGTCTATGATTATGAATACACTGTCCTTTTACTTACTTAGCAAATACTTATTAATCATGTAGAATGGATCAGTTAAGGACCTCACACTGTAGTGGAGAGAGAAGCTGAGGTCTGAAAGCAATGCTAAGGGCAGTTGATATTCAGATTCAGGTTGGGGTGGATGACTTGAGATTTGCATTTTAGAAAGACCACTTTAGCCATTTTATTGAAGAAGCACAGAGTTGCGAATAGAATAAAGATGGAAAGCTATTAGGGATCTATTTTGGTAATCTTAAGTGAGAAATGTGGTAATGGAATGAAAAGAAGAGATGGTATTTGAGTATTCTAAAGGAGGTGGAATCAGCAAGATTGGGCAGCTGTTTTCACCAGGTGGGCCATGGGGGGAAAGAACTGTAACATGACCCCCAGAGTTTTGATTCTGGGTGACTAGGTAGAAAGTGGTATCATTCACTGTGGTAGAAAATAGGAGCGGAGCTTGTTTGGGTGGAATAAAGTTTTGTTACCTTCGGTTTGCAGAGTCTGGAGCATTCAGGTAGAGATTGTATGCTCCATCAGGATGGACACTAGCCCACTATCCTTTACTGTGTGTTACAGCATATTCACTGTACAGTACTATACAGTAATTGCAGATAATATCAGGCCATTTGTTAATTGCCACAGCTGTTCTAGGTACATGTGTTAAAAGCACTTAATGTTTACAACAACCATTTCAGGTGGATACTGATAGCATTATCAAGAAGTTAGGTGTGTAAGGCGATACAACCAATAAGTGGTGGAGCTGTGATTTCAAGCGCTGGCAGCCTGGCTGAGAGTCTGTGCTCTTCACTGTTGGGCCACTGCTGTTATGTGTCTTGAAAATAGTAGGCTTCAGAAAAAGTATTTCTGGTGTTGAACAGAACGGTCTGTTGCATGGTGGGAGTTAGCTGATTCATTCAGGAGGGCAAGCACTAATATTCTGAGTCTGGAATTTGCTGACCAGGGTTTTGTGCTTTTACCTTTTGGCTTTAGTCTGTGATTACAAATTTGGCCGACTATAAGAAGAAAAGTCTTTTTTACTCTTTTCCTTTTTCTTTTTCTTAAAGGAATAATTGCCTTTTATTAGTCAGACACCAGTTCTTAGGACCAAAGTGTTAATTTTTCATTCCCACTATGGATATCATGATCATGGTCCCAGCCTACCTTGGGATAATTATTGACTGTTTTTTCTTTGTGGTGAGCTTGCCAGGTTTGAGTTCTCTTATGACTGTGTTGGAAGGATCCAGAGGAATCCAACAACCTTGGGTTGAGAAGTTTAGTTCTGTGTCGGGTATGGTTTTCCTGTTTTTATGCTCAACCTTTGATTACCTGTGTCAGTGGAGAGCACCTTTAAGGTGCTCTTTCAACTGGTTTGGGAGATGCTGCAGACATTGTCTGCCGTATCCCTGGCAGGTGCAAAGCAGCATCTCAGCAGTGGGTTTGAGTTGGTTTGTGAAGTGCTCAATCATTGAAGAAGCCTCTCTTGAGAATTCAGAGATTACTTCTGTAACTCATGTTTTGGTTCTCAACTGATGAAAATCTTGTGTGAAAATAAATGTTATTGTTGTTGCTTTACAAAAAGATTTTCATAAGATTTTTCTCCATAGATTTGTATTAGGTTATTAAGTATGGACTGTTCAATTTCCTTAAGTACTAAGTTTGACAGTTGATATCTGACATTTATTTTTTGTATTGTGAAGGTACATCCTCATTCTTTCAAACACATGTTTGGGCTTGTGATTATCTTTCAAATTTTTTTAGAGCAATTTTTGTGAAACCATGGATAAGTCAAAAATTCGTGTTGTTTTGAATATGAGTTCCGTCGGGGAACCAATATAGCACAGACAGCCCAAAATAATCAACAAAGTGTTTGGGAAGGATGTGGCTAATGAACGTACAGTTCGTCGATGGTTTGACAAGTTCCATTCTGGTGATTTTAATCTTAAATGAGCCACATGGGTGACATGAGACCAGGGTGGATAATGATGAGATGAAAGCTGTGGTGGAAGCAAATCCTACGTACGCGTGAATTAGCAGCAAGGTTTGGCATTGCTATTCTAACAGTATTGGACCATTTGAAATAAATGGGCAAGGTAAAGAAGCTGGACAGATGGGTACTGCATGAATTAAACTAACGACTAGTGTCAGAAAAGAAATCATCTTGAAGCTTGCCTTTCTTTGCTGTCACAACATAAAGGTGAACCATTTCTGCACTGTATTGTTATGTATGATGAAAACTTGATTCTTTTAGACAATTGCAAGCATTCGGCACAATGGTTGAGTAAAGATGAAGTGCTGAAACACAGTCCAAAACTAAATATTTATCAAAAAAAGCTAATGGTGTCTGTTTGGTGGTCCAGCGCTGGTATTATCGCCTCCAGCTTTACGAAACCTGGTCAATCCAGTACAGCGGATGTCTACTGCAACCAGCTGGACAGAATGATGAGGATGCTTGTGATTAAACAGCTGAGATTGGTCAATAGAGACAGGCCAATCCTCTTGCAAGACCACAAGCCGCAAAAAACAAGGCTGCTCAAACTACAGAAGCTGGACTTGGAAACTCTCTGTCATCCACCATATTCCCAACTTGCACCAACTGACTACTTCCAGGCCTTGGACCACTTCTTGCAAAGAAAAATATTCAATTCTCAACAAGCTGTGGAAAACACCTTTCACAATTTCATTACCCCACTCTCTACAGACTGGTTTGCTGCTGGCATGAGCAAGCTACCCTTAAGATGACAAAACTGTATCAATAGTTTGGGCACATACTTTGATTAATTGCACTGCTTCTTGTTTGAGATATAATATGCTAAAATTTTGATTTGAAATTGGACATTGCATATTTAATGACCTAATATTAATTTTAATCACTATATATTTTATACCATCTAACATATAAATGTTGTGTTCAGTGACATATACCTGTTTATAATTATAAAGGTTTTTAATATATTGAACATTCTAAAATCCTTATTTAAAGAACCGTTAGGTATGTCAAGTGATGTAAACATTAGGATGTGAATACTTCCTTTAAACCTCACTTATCTACTCGCAGGAGGAGAGACTTCAGCATGCAAACCTTCATCTGTTCGGCTTGCACCGTCATTTTCATTCCATGCTGCTGGCCTTCAGATGGCTGGACAGATGCCCCATTCACATCAGTACAGTGACCGTCGCCAGCCAAACATAAGTGACCAACAGGTTTCTGCCTTATCATATTCTGACCAGATTCAGCAACCTCTAACTAACCAGGTAAGTTTGTGGAGTACCAGAAATGACTTTTGGAATAGTAGTTTATTCCTTAAAAATGTTGGGATATTAAATAGGCAAAATGCTTTCATGGTTTTCAGTTTTACATGTTACATGGGATTCTGGATTGACAAAACATGATGTTAAAGAAGTTTGCGTTAAAAAGTTTTTTGTTTTTTTTTTCTTTTTACTTGGTATTTCACTTAATTAAAAAACATTCATAAACATAGCCACAGTCTCTTATTCTAGAATAGAGAGGAAAAAGTTATTTCTGAAGAATATTAGTTAAAGGAACTTAACTTTGTGGAAAGGTGGTGAAGTAAAAAAAATATGTTACAGGAACACAAATCAGAATCCAGTACAGCAAACTTGCAGAACCAATTTTATGCTGTTATAAATGACTTTACTACACATTTATAAAAGTAAATATAAAACTCCTTAAAATTAAAAAGAAATATATGCAAATTAACCATGCTATTCATTCTAATATTCAGACTAGAGATTCATCAGTTTTCCATAAAGCTAATGGTGTAAAGATAATGAATACTAAAATCTCTTGAGAGAGAGACACGCACACACGTATATATTTTTAATATCTTCCTGAATTATCTACACCTACTACATTGATTTTTGGTTTGGGAAGAATTTTCTTGTCAGCTGCAGTTGTGAGGTAAAGTACTTTTCCCACTGGTGTTGGATGTTTGATGAGCACTGAAAGTGGCTGCTATTCCTTTTAGGACTTAGGAATTTAGTTTGCCACTGTTTTGTTTAGGTCTTTTAGTATATCAAGTGAGGATAAAAAGTTGGGAAATTTGGAAGTATATCTTTTTGTGGATTGTTTGAAGGAATTGTATTTTCTGTAATTCAATAATATGTGATTTTAATGAACAGGTGGCTCCAGTTAAGTGTCATCGTTAGTAACAGGTGTCTTTGTATGTGTTATAATAAGATCTGGCTAATAGTTAAGCCAGCATTACATTTATAAAATACATATAACATGTGAATAACATTCACAGTTAAATAGCTAATAATATGAATTATGGCAAGACTTAAGAATTTTTTTGTGCAGTGAATTGATTGAGAATTGAGTTCTGTGTTTGAGAATTGGAACAGTTGATCAGACTGTTCAAGTTTGGGAAGTATGTAACTGTGTAACAGAAGAAAGTTCTCTGAAAGTCCAATAAGTAATAATAGCACCATGATCCACTTGCACTTTGGGAAAACCGAGTATGTTGGATTGATTTTCCCACTTATTCAAAAGCAGCCTATTAGGCAGGGTGCTATTTTTAATGTTTTCCAGCTGAAGGGACTGAGCTCCTGTTTGTGACTTCTCCGTGTGTGTGTATGCAGTAGACTGTGGGGTCCAGTCCAGGCTTCTTTCTTCTTAGATACATTTCTTTAAAGTCTAACCTCTGGCATCTATGGAGGGCTAGAAAGAATTCTAGTCCTAGTTATTTTTATGGTAATATTATTTTAGTAATTTAGTTAGCAAAGTACCTCATTTTATATGCAGCTGACATCTTGTTTGTCTTTGGATCACTTAAATAAAGAGGTATTTCACTTAGTATTTCCATTTTAAGCTATAAAGTAGTTTTAAAGATTTATATGATATAAAAAGACTATTTTTAAGTAATAATACTCAGCCAAAAATTTCTGACCTAATAAAGGCAGTCATATCAGAAGATGTCTTTTTGGTAACCGAAGTGTAAACTCTGCTGGTGTGGCCTGGTTTACCAGCATATGACATGGGCTCAAGGTTGCGGCTCATGATCTGGTGGTAGGACTTGAGTCAGGTCACTTGGACCCTTCATATCTGGTCCTTGAGTGTAAAATTGGGACCTTAGACTAGACCCCCTAAAGTACCTTCTAGCTATAAACTTCTATAATTTCATTATTTGATTTCCATTGTTTCTAGTTAATCATCTCATCAGATGTCTTTTAAATAAGGTTTATTGTACAAGTAAATTGAAATGAACTAACTTTAACATTTTATTTCTAGTAGTTAATCTTATATGAGTATGTTTGGTACAAGTTTAAAAACAGTTTCGTTCAAAAGATAAACTTAGGAAATGGGAAATGTAGTAAAAGTAAGTGTAGAAGAGTTATGATGGATGCTTGGAATGCTGAGTCTCTGTGGGCTATTCTAGTTTTCACAGTGCCTTTTGTAGTTTTTCAACTGTACCAGTACCCTGGATATGTGTTACGTATGCTATTCAGTTTTATTAATATTTCTCAAAATAGCGAGAAAGGCCACTGCAATGGCTCATGCTTGCAATCCTAGCATTTTGGGAGGCCAAGATGGGGGGAATGCTTGAGGCTAGGAGTTCAAGACCAGCCTGGGCAATATAGTACATCTCCATGCAGTGGCATGCACCTGTAGTCCTAGAGACTTGAGAGGCTGAATGGGATGATCGCTTGAGCCTGGGACTTGGAGGCTGCAGTGAGCTATTATTGTGCTGCTGCACTCCAGCCTGGGCAACACAGTGAGACCCTGTCTCTTAAAAAAAAAATGCAAGAAAGGCAGAATACAGTGTTTCTAATGCTTCATTATATGTGAAAATATTAGGTAAATATAAATCAAATGAATGAAGTAGGTATTATTATACTAGAGAAAAATTTTTGAGCAAAATCCTAGAGTTTACACTGTAGAATCTTTCCAGGGTAAAAAGTTAACTGTTTTATTATCGCTCTTATAACTCATCTAAGCAGTAAATTTATCTGGGTGAAGAAAAAGGTCAAGAGATGTAAGCATTGAGGGCATGGTATTTCTAGCTCCCAGTGCCAGATAGCTGAGGGAGCAGAATGACATCTCATCAACTTTCATTTTTGTAGGTTACACACCACCTTCCCGCAAAAGGGGTGATACCTACAGCTCGGTGAGCTCCTGGGTCCTCTGAACACCATGGACTTAATTTTCAGCTGCAGAAAGGGAGGAAGGGAGCTCAGTACATTACTGTACATTCTCTTGGCATTGTGATTATAAGAAGCAGAAAGTAGAGAAAACATCAAATGCTTAGGGATGGCCTTGAGTCTTAGTACAGACGTGTAACTAGGTATTTGGAAAAATTATTTTCTAATTCTGGGTTTGTACATAATGGCAGCACAATTTTGCAAAACAGAAAATTGGGTTAACTGACAAATCACAAGGAAAGCAAAGTGAATGTTATTTACTTTGTAGAAATTAGTTTTTCCATGTATTTTGAGCATCTCTGTACAAGGTGCTCTTTGAATCACTGAAATATACTCTAGGCCCAGGCTAATTTTTTGTGGACAGAATGCATCTGTTTATGTATAATAGATGCCTTGAAATAGTAACCTCTATTGCCAAAGAAGATAAGAAAAATAAAGTTCTAAGAATTAGCTAATTGACTTGGCCTTGTAGGCAGAGTTTGACCAGTTGTGGAAAAGGTTAGCAGTATTGTGAAGTGTTAAGCACACAACACACTCCCAAATGTGATCATGTAACTCAAAATCATGTTTACATTCAATTTTTCTTGATTGTGTGATTTTGGTGTTTTGAGTAAGCACCTGGATGGTCACTGATCCTTTTTTTGGATGTTTGAAATAGCAGTGGAATTGTAAACAGGCAAGTTAAAAACTTAGATATTCTGGTTTTTTAATAACTACTTTTAAATTCGTGTGCTTATTTTATGCATGCTTCAATTACTTTGCCCAACAAATAGCCTAAAAATGACAGGACTTAAGAGGGTAGAATAGAAGCCTGAAATTGGAAATTGGTAAGGCGCTCCTGGCATATGTCAATGTGAAGAGCACAGGGTTTAGCATAGACTGCCTTGGCTCTCAGCTGTGTTCCTCACTGGCTCCAGAACCTTGGTCAAGTTAACATTGGAGTCTCAGGTTTCTCCTGTCTAAAATGGTGACAGGAATAGTACTTATTCTCTTGAGATTGTTGAAAGGATTACGTGAGAGACATGTAAAAAACAGTGCATGCTATAAAAATACAATGTTTATTAAATAGCTGCTACTATTGTTATTTTATCATTAATTACTCAAGTTATTCAGTTGGTTCTACCAATAGTTATACTTCTTACCAACTTTTATTATAGTGGGAATGAAACATTTCACTGATTCAGATTTTGTGAAACCTTACATTCAGGCCGCCCTTCACCAGTCCAAGAAAGGGCTTGTGAGTAAATTACCTGCATAAAACAATGCTAGGGACTTAAAAAAAGAAAACACATTAAGGGAAAGCTCTTTTCATTCATTCACAAAAAAGAATTAACATGTTTATTACCAATATTATCCATTAAGTCCCCAAGGAGTGGTGTAAGAATATTCTGGGTCTGGTGTGGTAGCTCATACCTATAATCCTAACACTCTGGGAAGCCAAGGCAGGAGGATTGCTTGAGCTCAGGAGTTCGAGACCAGCTGTCTCTACTAAGAATAGAAAAAGTTTAGCCGGATGTGGTGGCACTCACCTGTAGTACAAGCTACTTGGGAGGCTGAGGCAGGAGGATCGCTTGAGCCCAGGAGTTTGAGGTTGCAGTGAGCTATGATGTTGCCACTTCACTCTACTTGGGACAACTGAGCAAGACTCTGTCTCCAAAAAAGAAAAAGAGAGAGAATAAGATATTCTGTGAATTTAGCTCTGCCTACTGTTTATATTTAGAAAAATAAAACAATATATATTTGAAAAATTAATTCAGATTGTTAATTCCAGTGATTTTTTTCAGAGAAATAGGTATAATCACTGAGAGTTTTTTTCCCCCTTAAACTTTAAGGAGAACTTGAGAAAAGATATTATTAAGTCAGTAATTCAGTGAATTTACCATCTGTCTAACAACTTTTAGAGTTAGAATATACATGCAGAGGAAACTAATATTAATATTGGTTTATGAGAAAGTGCACCCAGGTAAATGCTATGAGATAGTGATGATTTTCTGTCCTGGCCACTGTTACAACCCTCCCCTCTTCTTTTTGTTAGTGTGGCTTAGGGTTAACAATTGTACCAAAAGTCTGAACATTTTTGTGAGGTTTTGGTATGATGTGTTCACCATCAGTCTACCCTCAAATTGACCCGAGTGTCCTTTTAGGGGGGTTGCATCAGGGTCTTCTGGCTGAGCAGATTTTACCAGTATAAATGTCCGTAAGAGCGAGGGAGGAACACAAGGATGGGCTAGTGGTAATGACTGTAGGTCATTACCTTGATGTAATTAATTAGTTCTGAGAATCTGTTGATTGCAGGAAGTCCCATTCAGAACCCTTTTACTGAGGCATGACACTTGGTGGTACAGTAAGGCTGGAACAGCAGTCCAGGTTCATTGACATGCTAATTATAGCAGTCATGGGTATGTGTTTAGAAGTTCATGCCCCTCCTCTGTGCCCGGTCATTATTGCAGTGGAAACAGTGTAGCCATAGTTGAACCCCTCACTGCCTATTGGGTGATGAAGAGAACCATGATTGTGGAAGGGGAATGTGAGGGCAAGGTTGGGGGTATTATTGTGGGGGGCATGTTTTACTTCATTGTGTTAAAGAAATAAGTGCAGATTTTAGCCTTGCTTAGGGGGCAGATACTTGTCAGAGGGCAGGGCCTGGTGGGGTTAGGCGTTGAACTTCTTCAGCACCCATTAGTTAGAGGGAATGGGGCTCTGCTGCCAGCGTACTTTTTGGTGCCAGCTGGGTCTTGAAATCCTATCTCAGGAACCTGAAAGTTGCCTCCAGTGGCTGGGTTTATCTTTATCTGTGTGTTGTGGACCAGGTAAGGTTTTAGGAATAATTCAGAAGTTTTTCTTCAGGCTAATTGTATGATAGAGGGAAGCCCTCTTGGGCAGCATCGTGTGTCTCCTGGATCCAGGGGTATGTCTGTATTTCCAATGTTTAAATTTCCCAGCCTTGGGCAGCTGGGCATATTGCCTTCTGATTTCATTTATTCGTTGCAGTGGTTGTCTTCACTGGAATGCAGATGAAAGAGAGAACTTTGAGAGAGAACGTATACTCTTCTAATGTAGATGTCTTTTTTAAAAATAGATAATATGCAAGTTACAGAAGAGGGAAATATCAGAGCAGTATAGTTAAAGTGCTAGTCTTTTCTGTCTATTTAAGGTGATGCCTGATATTGTCATGTTACAGAGGCGGATGCCCCAAACCTTCCGTGACCCTGCAACTGCTCCCCTGAGAAAACTTTCTGTTGACTTGATCAAAACATACAAGCATATTAATGAGGTAAGACTTGATTTGTTATAATAGCATCTATCTTGTAATACATCAGGGGGGAAAAGTTATTTTGTGACATATTTAAACATCTTAAACTTTTTCCCCCCAATGATTGTCATATTGGTGATTATTATTAATAAGTTAATGATATAGAGATAATATAATTACAACTATGTAAAAGAAAAGATACATTCGTAAGGACTGCAAAGTATAAAGGTAGTTATGGATAACTCCTTTTTTTGTTATTTAATATGCTGAGTTATTTTTATAATAACTCTTACCCAAAATAAGAAAGAGGGGGAATGACTCTTTAAAAGTATGTATATGTTAGAATTTTGCTTAAATTTTTTATATATCTGTTTCTTCCTTTGCTGTGGGTGTCAGGAAGCTCTAAGATAATATTTAATACCCATCTTTACATGCATTTGGCCTAGTTTATTTGATCTATCTATATTTCTGTGATTTTATTGTCTTTTAAAATTTTATGTGTGTTCTTTTATCTATATCGTTTCATGGTAAGCTATCCAAAAACTTTTTTGGTGGAAGTAAATAAGATAAAAAATATACCCAGTGCTTCAAATTAATTGTCTTATAACTTGGCACTTTGACACTAAAACTGATTTTTCTGGTGTCCTGGACCTTTGGGTTGATTGCCATTTGCTTCTGGCCTCAACTCCCACTCCATGATTCATTATTAAATGAGCTTTCCTGGAAAAGAGGGGAAAAGTCCATGCTTTCTTTTCTCTTCCAATGGGAGCCCTGTATCCTATCACATTAAAGCCTTGTCCTCTGCCAGCTTTAGAGCTACTTAACTCAAAAGATGTTCTTAGGTACGTGTGAATCTTACAGTGGTTCAACATTTAATGCCAGTGTCATTATATTACTGTGGGAACGTGGCAAAATAAAATTAGAATGAACTCAGTGAGAGACATTTCTGAGTTAGATTTTGTACCATGATGTATTATAAAAGATGTTCCAGAATAGCTTGTGATTGTCTGAAAATGTCAGATAAATTGTTGCAGTGTATTAATATCAATTTGTCAGTATCTGATAAATTGTTGTTAACAAAGCTGTATTAAAACTGGTTAACAACAGCTTTGTTGAAACTTGTTTTTAAATGTCTTGCCACCTTGTAAACTAGACTTTTTCTGATGTTATTCTGTGCAGTGTAATACATAGTTTCCTCAAAGTTAGTTACCAGTTACTTGGACTGTTACCTGGTTCACCTATGAACTTTTTTTAACTAGCCTTAGAAACTGTCATAAGAAAAACAGGTATAAGAAAAAGAACTCGATCTGTGACTGACCCCAAGGCTTATGATCTTGGATGAGAGTGGAATGGGCATGGCTGTTTTTCATTAGTTTTTATATTTTAATAGGCTTAAAATGTGGGCATGTCTCTGAGGACCTTTTCGCAAAACATCAGTTCATGTACATTTAAACTTATTTTAAAATATGTTGCCATAAGATCAGATATAAAGTTGGGATGCACTAGAAAGGGACGTGTGAAGGAACCTGAACTTGAGGGGAATGAAAATGTTACTATTTTGTTTGGCATTTGTTGATTATATCAACATATACATTTGTCGGAATTCCTCATGTCGTGCTCTTGAGATCTGTGCCCAATTCACTGTATATAAATTATACCTTCATTTAACAAATTAACGTAGATCAGGCCATGTTATTCTGTTGAATGTGATATAGGATACTTTGGACAAGCCACTTAACATCTTCTATTTATAAGATGTACAAACAGTATAACTATAAATTGAACTTCACATTTTTTCGTTGGTTATATCAGTGTTATTTTCTAGCTCAAATATTGACTATAGAAAATTGTTCATTCTTTTATTCTTGTTAACAAGAATCAAAATTCATCAATTTCCTACTAATAGATTTGTCTCAATATACTCTTGATATATGCCCTCCCCCTCATATAATGATTTACATTATACAGTTAACACTTTATGTTCTCATTTCAGGTTTACTATGCAAAAAAGAAGCGAAGACACCAGCAGGGCCAGGGAGACGATTCTAGTCATAAGAAGGAGAGGAAGGTTTACAATGATGGTTATGATGATGATAACTATGATTATATTGTAAAAAACGGGGAAAAGTGGATGGATCGATACGAAATTGACTCCTTGATAGGCAAAGGTTCCTTTGGACAGGTAATTTAATGGACAATACCGAATTTCATTAAGTAGAAAGAATTTCGAAGTGAATCATGTTGTTAAATTCTTTCCTTAGTAGTACACTTTTAATATTTGTAAATAAATCTAAACAAATGAATATGTAAGTATGTGGGTTATCACATTTGGGAACTATTATCATAGTTCCCAAAGATGGGAAAGCTGTATCAGCTATAAAACCTCCATTAAGCCAGATTCCGTGGTGTGCACCTGTAGTTCCAGCTACTCAGGAGGTTGAGGCGGGAAGGATTGCTTGAGGCCTGAGTTTGAGGCTGCTGTGAGCTATGATTGCACCTGTGAATAGCCCAGTGCCCTCCAGCCTGGGCAACATAGTGATACCCTGTCTCTATAAAAAACAAAAACAACCTGTTAGACTTTTGATTTTAAACTTTTTATGGCTACCAAGTACTTATTTTACTAATGCCTAAGTGGTTAATTTTAATCACTAATAGGTAGCATTGCCTCTTTCATAGGGGCTTTATTTAATCTAGGGATGATTCTTTATTATGTATGTTAGACATATTTACCTACCCAATTGACAGCTTCAAAGAGAAAAGAATTAATCATCTTTAAGCCTCACAGCAGGTGCCCTCTCACATTTCTGGAGGCTTAGAAAGTCTGGGGCTGTGCCCTGGATTTTTCTCCTAACTCATGTTCTAACCATGTCAGGACTTGAAGTGGGCAGACAGTCGTTAGGATTCCTGCTTCCAGGCCTCAGAGCACTGGATAATTCTGATGGAAAGCACCATCGACCAGCTTCTACCATAAAGGGACTCCAGTGAGATTGGTTTTTTCTCTTCATTCTTGTGGTCTCTTCTCTCCACCCACAACTTTACCCTCCCTACCTGCTCAAATAGCCCCATGACAAAGCACAAAGCCCTAAGCCCTAAGAATGTTCGTCTCTTGTATTAGTCATGCGCAGACCAAGAGCTCTCAGTTATTCCTCCTCATACTTTTAAAAAGCCTTTTCTCTGGCTGTGGTTCCCCCAGCGGTTCCCACATGGTAAAGCCTCCTCTCTCCTCAAATCACAGAGCTCTTGTTTTGTTTGAGATATGATTTGCTCTTAATACCAATCTCCCCTGCCTTGCAGCCCTTGTGGAGTGAGTGAGTTATTAACCTGCAGTCGAAATATTTCTTTTGACTTTTCAGTGATGAGGATAGAATGGAAGTCAAAATGACTTTTTCTGAATTACCCCCCCTTTTTTGTTTGTTTTTTAAACTCTGGAATCTGGATGTGCTTAATTACTAATCTGTTCCCGCTGCAGAGAAAGCAAAATATGCCCCTTTTTCAAAGTATGAGGAAAATTCGTCATGTGTTAAATCTGATCATGCTTAGGACAAAAAGTACACTGTAGGCCATTAGCAGCCACAGGTCCAAACCCAGAAAGATCTAAGCTGTTAAACATGTAAGCAGGTATGAACTAGTGCATTAGAATACCTCTGTAACTGCTGTGCTGCCCTGCCAGGTCCTGGTGTCACATGTATGACGTCTCCTGTTCCCACGATTGGAAGGAATTTTGGTAGTTGTACATAATCCAGGGGGTGTTCAGGGTTTTGGGAGTCCCTCTTTATGAAAGTATTCCGGTTTTGTCAGAAGCAGCTTCTGCTTCTCTATCAGCCTCTTAAGGACGAACGGCATTTCTAAGGCCCAGCTTTTAACTGAGGCTGTGAACACCCTCGATCTGAGGATTGCTTGTTCCACCTTGAAAATTGCACCAACATTTGAGTAGTTGCTCTCAATAAGACATTTTTCTAACTTTTGTGACATCTACCATGAAAATTGGGGCCACACAGCCTGTTCTCTAAGCCTCGTTGTCCCTGATCATCAGTCTTTATGCTTACATTTCACTCCTCCTCTTCACCTCAGGGTTCTATGCCTTAATTCCACAGAACAGGTGAGCATAGTAATAAACCTGTGAAGATAATACGTCTATTTGACATGGAACTCCTTTTCACCAGGTCAGACTGATACTTCCCTCCTGGGCTGAGGTGTTATGCAGTATCCATGTTCAGGTTCAGGGCCTATCACTCACCAGAGTAACATCTTCCATATTGATTTGGTCAAACTTTCTCTGAATTCTCTGCCAGGTTTTTGCCAAGTGAGGGATGTCTCTATTTCTTCAGCCAATAGTGATCAATCTTGATTGCACATTGAAATTTCCTGGGGAGCTTTAAAAAAAAAAAATGCCTAGGCTCCAAACCAATTAAATTCTGAGCATTGATATTTTTGAAAACTCTCTGTTGAATTTGCAATTCAGAATAAAAAACCATTGCCTTAGCATTTAGCCAGTTAACTATTTGCCAAGTCAGTAAATACTTGGGCCCCTGTGAGTGGCCTTTGTCCTGGAGACCATCGGGATCTGGGCACTGAACTGCAACTCTTGGTACAGTCAGTATTCAGTGAAACAGAAGAATGTCAAAAACGTTTGTCAGATGTTTACATGGGTAGCCTCTAATATGAAAGACAACAGATAATATCTTTCAGAATTGGGTGAAACCAGAGATACTGCATTTTTCATTCCAAGTTTGATTTCAGTTCAACGGTTTATAATCTGTCATTCACAGTATATTTAGCCTTGGCTGATGCAGATCTTGGAACATATATTCCATCCTCTTCCTCTAGTCTAATGGTTTTCATCCTACACATTGGAATCGTTTGGAGTTCCTCCCCCATCCCCAGACTTTTTGAGTATGTTAGAAAATATATCTAAAACTATTACTTATTCAGACTATTTATGATATAAATGTAACTTCTGTTCAATCAGTTATTAATGGTTATCTCTGGTAAATAGGAGATATAGTTTCCTTTTACTTATGTATTGATTTCCTAATTTTTATGTAGATCTTTTTTGATAGTATGAAACTTGTTTTAAATGAGCAAAATTTAAAATGAGAGGTGTGCATGCTGATATGTACTAATGACACCCTATTTTCCTTAGCAGTGATTCTCATTTTAAAACTATCATAGGCCAGGCACGGTGGCTCACGCCTGTAATCCTAGCACTCTGGGAGGCTGAGACGGACGGATCGTTTGAGCTCGGGAGTTCGAGGCCAGCCTGAGCAAGAGCGAGACCCCCGTCTCTACCAAAAAATAGAAAAAAATTAATTGGACAGCTAAAAATATATAGAAAAAATTAGCCGGGCATGGTGGCACGTGCCTGTAGTCCCAGCTGCTCGGGAGGCTGAGGCAGTAGGATTGCTCGAGCCCAGGAGTTTGAGCTTGCTGTGAGCTAGGCTGACGCCACGGCACTCTAGCCCAGGCAAGAGAG